AAGAGAATCCTTTCTGTAAATGAGTTTCTAGGAGAGAGGATACTCATATTTGGGATGTGCCTCTTAAACAACCCAAAATAGATCTCTCGTATAAGTACTCTGTTGGAGAATGATTTTGGATCTCATCCTAACTATTTTAAGTTTTAATGTCCATATGGATCACCTATTGGAGACAATGTAAGGTCGGCCATGCTATATAAACTGCTATAAAGTTGCTCTCACAATATACCATCTCTGTGATGCCATAAGGACTATATTGAAGAATTTCATAATTGCCTTATAGTAATATTAAAAAGGAAAGTATTTTTTCAACTTGATTTTTAGCTTTCCAAAGTACTATTCTTTTGCCCTACCTTTTCACTTCCCACACTGCCCTCAACCCTCTTTTTTATTTTTTTGTGTCCACCCATTGCCTCCACTCAGAGATCTCTTTCCTCTGTTTAGCCTGCTTTCCTTTTCGAGATGTCTTTTTATTGGGCGTTGCTTTAGCCCGTGTGCGTACGCGCAATCGAGTCCATCCGCACGCCTTCTCCTCCCCCGCACATCCCCTTCTTTTCTACTGCGACGCGTGACCCGCACCCCGCCTGACGTCCCACCGTGGCGCGGTAGGGTCTTGCCGAAGCTTCGCGAAGCGGAGCTCTGGTGTGAACCTACCGTGGCCGCAGTGCCCTTCTTCTTCCCCTCCTCCCGCCCTCCCGCTGCCTCCCCGCCGTGGCACGGTAGGGTCTCGCCTGTAGCTCCGAGGCCGAGGAGCTCCCGCGTGAACCTACCACGCCCGCGGCAGCCTCCTTCTTTTCCTCCCCCGCCCTCGCCCCTAAACTTAAACCCTAAACCCTACTACGCCTGCAGCGGCATCCTTCTTCTCCTCCTCCTCCCTCCCTCCCACGTTGCCATGCCCATGGGCGCCCCCGTCCCCCTAGCCCGACCGCCTCCCCCGCCGCCAGAACCCTAACAATCGGATGACAGAGACGATGTGCGCGCCGAGCGACCAGATCCTGCGCGTGCGGAAGTAAGCATTCCCTCTTTTATTTTATCTTTTTTCTTTTCTGCCTGTTACCTCCGTTCCAAAATCATTTTCTTTCCTGAGATTTTTTTATTGAATTGATTTTTCTCTTATATGTCCGTCGCCTCCGTTCCAAAATTGTTTTAAGATCTGCCAACTCAGTCCTTCGGACGTGCTCATAAAGATAGGGTTTACGTACGTGTGTTTATAGGGGCGAATGTGCGTGCGTGTTGTGGACGTCTACGTTATACTGTTTAATTTTTAAAAAATGTTTTTCCGTTCCGCCCGCCCGTCACCTCATTTTGTTCTTCTACCTTTTCCCATAGATATCAAATACCTTTTTTTTTTTCTGAATATCCTGTTTTGATTTTTTTGTTTTCCCCATAAATGCCAAAACAATATGGCTGCTTATACCAGTTCTATTATATGGCAACTATTTGGTTCATAGCTAAACTGGGCTATGAAGTCTCATCTCAACCAATAAATAAAGTGGCAAAATACCGTCGAAACCCTTATACATACACATGTACGCCACATGTAAGATACATGGTAGGAGTACATTATCTATGATGGACTTAACATATAGAGAGATTTTTCTAAAATTGAAACATTTTTGGGAAGTAATAAACCAGTATAACTATGAGCCCCGGGCACCATCAATCTATTCAATTCAGTAAACAGCTTAGGCCAGCCCAACGCTCCTGTCCCGCGGTCCCGCACTGGCGTGTGGCGAGCGGCGAGCGGCGAGCGGCGAGCCAGCGATCCAGGGGTTACGGTAGGCAAACCGAGCGGCGGCGGCCTGCGGGAGCGGGGGTCGTCGAGTTGGGTATTCGGGTCATGCTGGTCGAGTCGGGTACTCGGGTCAGACGCGACAGAGGAGGGAGAAATTCCAGGCTGCGCACAGTAGTGCGCACGGCCTGCAAATACACGAACCCCGAGCCGGGGGGCGAGAAAACCCCAAAAGGAGATTCTCCTCGCCCCTTCCACTAGAGCAGCCGACGGCCCGAGGCGGCGAGCTCGTCGGCGATTGACCACCGCCGGAGCAGCCGCCGCCTCCTGCTGGTCCTGCACCACAGCCTCGCACGAGCGGCTCCGGTGGCTGCGCCAGCCGCCACTGTGCTGTCGGAAGGCGGCTCGGAGGACTCGCGCCCCCTCGGCTTCTCTGCGCCCGCCGCCCCTCCGCCGACCGCCGGCGTGATCGAGGTGAGTAGTTCCTCGCATTCACTCGGTTCCTGGTCCCCGCGTGGTGCAATGCTTGTGCGCATCGCTTATTCGCTTGATTTCGTTTTTTTTTCTCTGGTCGCGGGGTTTATTCGCTTGATTCCTGTTTTTTTGCTCTGATCGCGGGGTGGGATTTTTTCCTTTTGGCTTTTGCTCCGTCTCGCCGTGCTGATTTCCCTGTGTTGCCGGGCGCCGGCGTTTGCGGCCGTGCGAGGTTTGGGTTGGTGAACTGAAGTTCCCCCAAAGCAGGGTTTTAGCACGTGCTCTCTACGAGGTTGCAGGTTTAGCGTACGTGATGAATTGAAAGCTTTATGTCGCACGTGATCGGGGACCGAGTAATGACTTGCGAGAGTTCGCGAATGGGGTCGGCTGGTGGCTTTGGATCCCGAGGGTAAGATTTTTGGTGCTGTTTCCACTAATCGCCAAGCCCATGTCCATCGCAGAGGATGATCGAGGCTTCCATGCTTCAACAGTCGAATATATATGGGTGCATTTTATATACTCCCGGGAATAGTTACTCCCATGATTAATAAATCACGTTGCGTATATGTACATACTTATTTATCAGTTTGAGTAGGTTTGACGTACTAATACTAAGATAGTCCAGATCTTTACGATGTGAATTTTTTTCCTCAAAAGAACACATATTTTTAATATATTATATAATACTATGATAGTAGCATATAAAATAAGTATAACCATATACTCCAATGATACATACATACGTCATACGTAGTCCCCTAGATAGTCTAGTATGATGATATACTTCATCTACGTACATTTTGTCGGATCATATACGTCATAAATTTAGAGATATAGATATGTGAGTAACTACTCCCTGGGAGTAGGAAATAATTTCCCTATATATATATATATATATATTTCTGAAGCGCTTCCTCAAATCCGCAGGCATCACCAATTTTACTGCGATGCAATAGTCCTAGTCATCTCCGTGGCCCCCGTTGTTAAGAGAATGGCACTTGAAAAGGCCTGTGGCCTGCTGCGCGGGCATGCACTGCCTCTGAGGCCTGAGCTGGTGGCCTGACAAGCTCTTTGCCGTGGCAGAATCAGCGATTCTCTAATCTGGCGATCCATCTCTTAAAACTGATTTCTGGTCGTTACTTGAAATTGAAATGCTCATTCGAAGTTAGTACATTCGTGGAGAAGTGCTTCAAGGTCAGAATGTAGCCCTAAACCTTCATTGTCTTCAGAGTTCAGAAGCCTTGTTTGATGTTGTGGGAAAGGAATAACCCTTCTGTGGTTGTAAGAAAGTGAGAGTACCATAGGTGATAGGAGCACAGTTCTGTCAGAACTTGTCACATGTAGCAGCCTCTCAGGGTGAGTGATTTGAAATGCTTGCTATTGTATTTTTCTTTGCTAATTTGTTAACTTTGCTATTTCAATTGGAGGTTTTCATATGTGGATTAGTTGATGGATCAGTTCATAGAATGGTGAACCCAAGAATTTTTAGAAGCCCGGACGATTTAATTGGCTAATCAACGAATTACACTTTGTCTCCTTTATATGTGGGCTACTTAATCATTAGGCCTAATGGCCGTGAACGGCGAGGAACCAAGGCTGAGGCCCAGGGTCGCCGGGAGCTGGGTCCACCAGACTTTCTTTACAATTGGTAAAACTGGTTGTTTTATTACTGCCGCAGTTTGTCATGGTGATTTTCTTTTCCTGTGAGTCATGGCGATGTCTTTTAAACAACGAGGAGTACGGTGATGTTTTAAATGGAATATATGGATGCTTGTGATATTGGGGTGTATCCCTGATATTATTTCTTGCATATAATATGTATTATGTTATTTTTAGGTCCTGTGATCTAAGAAGGGCATTTAGTATTTTTTTTCTTAAAAAATGTCTGTTTCATCAAGAGGAGAGGAAGTAACCTGAGAAGAATACAGTACATTACACTTAAGATACACTCCAGTGCTTAAAGCGCCGACAAGAAGAAAAAACAGGGGCGGGTGTCAGTTACAAGACATAAGCTGACCCAACTAAAACAGACTGCGAAGAAATGAAACTGCCAAACCAAAGGGCATTTGATGTTATCAAATTTCCATTTTAAAGTGGTGCTCTTCAGTAATTTCCCTCCAAATTATTTCATGGAGGGATCTTGTGATGCTTTAAATATTTGAAATACTTCAGCTCACGAAGAAGCAAAGTTATGGGGTCTAGCGGGTGCCAGGGGCATAGCCTTGTTGACTGAACGGATACTTGGTGTTGCCTAATTGCTTGGCTCCTTGGTCGTTCATCCCTTGTTTGTGTGTGTGTGTGTGTGTGTGGATTTGTTGTGTCTGTGTGTCTGGGAGTGTTTGTTTGTAAGTTTGTGTGGGCTTGTTGTGGCCGTGTGTGTCGGGGTGTGTTGAGGTGTTATCTTTGTTGTTTTGGGGTTTCTCGTAACCCCTTTTTCCTTCTTAATATAAAAGATATGCAGCTCTCTTGTGTGTTCAAGAAAAAGAAGTATTTGAAATGCTGTGTAGTATAGCCAGCAAACAGTAAAACAAACTAGGATACTCTACATGCTTGCATTGTTAGAGTGAGATTTCTCATTTAAGGTCCTGTCCTATCATCATTATGGAGTCTTCTTTTGTGTTTACTTTTTCATTAAGACTAATTACTATGGACTAAAATAACTGTACTTCAATGTCATATTCAGAGCTATGTTGTACTTCTTGCTATTTACACTAATATTTGTGGTCTGTTATTCCTTCTGTTTGGTTTCTACTTCTCTCAGCATCAATTATTTTCCATGCGACTCCTGTGCAGGATGGAGCTACATGATGAACTTCCTGAAGCTACTCTGAATGCCATAAAATTTGATCTCATGACCAGTACGGATATGGTATGTTTTGTTAATTTTGCATAACTTTTAATTTCCCCCCCTAAATTAAAGTGTTAGGCATCATTACACTTTTATACTTTACTTTCTCTTTTTTGTGAAGAGCAAGTTTCTACAACTTATACTCTATATGCTTCTGGTCATCTATGCAAATGCTTATTTTCTTATCAAGTCAGCACATAGAGTATTTTGATTATTCTATTCATTGCATTGTGTTGTCAGAGATAATTTTATGTAATTATTTTACCATTTCAGGAAAAATTGAGCAGCATGAGTGTAATCGAAGTGAGTGATGTCACAAGTCCCAAGTTAGGACTACCAAATAGTTCACCGCAGTGTGAGACCTGTGGATCGAAAAGTACACGTGACTGTGATGGTGAGTACTATTAAGCACACTTGCCGAAAAAAGTGATATTAAGCATGCCATGTTGAAGCGTGTACTTTGTGTGCATTTTTTGTGCAAAGAGAATCAACTTGTCAAAATTTTTAGGGCATTTCGGTGTGACTAAACTGGCGGCAACAGTGCACAATCCATATTTTATCGATGACGTTGTTCACTTTCTAAACCAAATATGTCCTGGCTGTCTCAGTCCAAGGGAAGGCATAAATATGAAGGTTTGTACCTTCCTGACTGACCTATTTTTATCCTCATTAAGCACTACATGTTTTTTCTCTTTGCCAAAGTTCATTTATACCATAATTTAGTCATAAAATCACTTTCAGATTATCTGGCCATTTTGTCAAGAGCTCTCCTTGTTCATCTGATGAACTAAAGTAGGGCTAGAGAGTCCTAGACACAGAATAAAAGACTGTAAAACAAATATCAGTATTACTACATGCAATTATGCTATTCATTGATGAGTTTGTTCATGTTACCTCTCATGTAATCCTTTACCTATTTATTTCAGTAGGTATTGATACACACGAAAACAGTATAATGCTTTTCAAAAAAAATTCTGTATATCAGTTTGATACTTACGAGCTCAGTGAGTTATTATTCTCTGTATTGTTTCTTATGTTAGTCACCTTTTCCTGAAAATAAATATAATATAATAATTTATTGTTTGCATCAAAGTTTAATTCGCAATACATTTGATTACTTTGCGAATTGTACTAATAGTTAATCATACAGTTGAACTAACTTAGCCGAAATTTTTTAAATAGAACTCTTAGGCATGATACATTTATATTTGTATAATTGCCTAGTTCCACTTATGGACTAATTGACGTTGTTCAACTGCTTATAAGTGATTTTACCCAAAATGTTCTATTTAGTTTTTAACATGGAAGCACATGGCTAAAAGTAATGTCCTGGCTCAGTTTACTTATGTTTTGGTAGGTAATAGTATGTTTAGTTCCACAGGTTGCTCTTCATGTTTGGGCAGGATATGATTGTGTTAAATGAGCTTCAGAAATAGGCCATCTTTGTATGTGGCATAGTAGGGTACCTATGTTTCTTCATTGTTTATGTTTCCTCGTGTGTAACCCTGCTTCTGGTATCCCAAGGGTTGCTCCTTTCAGGGAAAGTAGGGACAGACTAGTGTTTATATATGGTATTATGCCTATTGCATTTTCTTATCATGGTTTTATCAATTCCTAAAACTATTAGAGGTGCTCTTGTTATGGCGCTAATCTTTACACATCCATAATGACCCAATGAGGCAATGACCCACTGTTAAGTAAAAACTACGCCTTTCTCTTATAAATCACTCTTTGCTTTATTGAAGAGATTGGGGAGAGAAACGGTTCAAGCAACATCAACATGCAAGTATTGCTCGGTAAGTGCATCTTTAGTTCTATCGGTGCATATTTCTTCCACCTTGTATTAAATCTTGTGTTTTTGCTTGGCAGAAGGATGGCTCTAAACTTTACCCTAGCATAATCTTTAAGACGCTGTCAAGTCCAAGAGTATTATTATCCAAGAATAAACTTCTCAGAAGCCCTAGCGTGATGGAAAGAATTTCAATTGCTGCAGAAGCTGCTGAAAGAATGTCTAATAGATCAAAGGGTAAAGGTTTGCTTGAAGGCCTGCCCCAGGATTATTGGGATTTTGTACCTTCTGAGAATAAGCAAGTCCAGTCAAATATGACCAAGATAATATTGTCGCCCTACCAAGTAATTTTTTTTCAGCCATTCATCTTTGGTAAAGGCTGTTCCATGTTGGCTTCCAGTATAGATATACTTATTCGCTGTTTCCCTCCTGAGAAAAGACTTTTTTCTATTATTTTTAATTGGGTCACTGCTACTTTGGCTCGAGTAATGGTAGCAGAAACAGGTGATTTAAAATGTACAATGTAGGATACAAAAAAAGGGGATATGGAGTTACTCATACTGTTTGGAGTATTTGTTATTGATTTTTTATTATTATTCACAACATACAGAAAATATAATTGTGATTACGAAACGGGGGCAATCGCACTCCTCAGCTTCTTGTATTCACATATATATCATGTTTCAAACAATAAGACCTGTCCTTGTTTCATTTTCCATATTTGCAGGTCTTCCACTTGTTGAAGAAAAGTGACCCTGAACTTATCAAACAATTTGTTTCAAGGCGGGAGCTATTGTTTCTATCATGTTTACCAGTAACTCCTAATTGCCATCGTGTTGTAGAAATCGGATATGGGCTTTCAGATGGACGTCTAACATTTGTAAGTACTTTTTTTTTTTGTTAAATCTTTTATCCATTCATCGTTTTTTCCAGCCATTCATGTTTAGTAACCTTCTTTTCGTTTAGTTAACCCTATTGAATGCTAGCCTTCTGTATAGTTTAGAGTAAATCTTTCAATAAATTTTTGGGAAGTCATTTAATTAAGAGCAAATCCACTGTATATCTTTGGAGAACTTCCTCACCTGATTTGCCATCAATTAAGTCTGCTTCACTCCATGCCATCAAGATTTCAAATTTCTTCATTCCATGCCATTGCCAGATTGCATGGAGTGAAAAAGTTTGAAATTAGGATTAAGTTCTTTTTTCACTCCATTACTGAAGAAATAGTGGTTAGGACTGTGTCCGAAGGAGCTGTCTGGTGTGTCACCAATGCCAGGGATCTCATGGGGCTAGTGTAAGTCTCGCTCCCCGGTTATAGTTGTGTCAACATACTGTACTGTCCATGGTATCACTGTTCTAATTTTCTTGCATGTGTGGGTGCGTGATGTGTGTTCATTGTCTTTGAATGTTTATCTTTGTTACCTTTTTATTCCTTCTTTAATGAAATGACATGTAGTTTTCCTGCACATTTGAAAAAAAATAGTGAGAAATCTGAAATCTGAATGGCTTGGAGTGAAATCCGATTTAATCGATGGCAAATCATAAAACCAGAAGTTCTCTGATGTCAAATAATCCATTACCTCTTTAATTAATGGGAGAACTTCCTTGATCATCTTGGATTCTTGAGTGCTTGGACTATCTGAAAGCATAATGATTCATGCATCTTTGAGGGATTGTTTCTGGAGAGTGCATTTTTTTGTAGACGTTGATCTGTGGAGCGCGAGCTTGAGCTAGGGGTTAACACAACATTGGCCCCAACCTAGCCTGCAGTATGACCTTAGTTGCATGGCGTGTTTGGTTTTCTTTCTTCATCTCTTTTGTTTTTTGTTGCCAAGGAGGATGATCCATCCTTCTAACCCTATTTCCCCTCCTATACTGAAACAGCATGCAGTTCTTGTGCATGTTTGAGAAAAAAAATTATTAGCAAACTTAGGGGGTACTCGATATGGTGTGAAACGATTTCTTCATCGCACTGCCAGATGCGCAATCTTTTTGTGTCATTTCAATTTTCAAATGGAGCTAGTACTGGTCTATTTTCTTTGTAGTTTTGTTCATCAAAACGATATGTTGTGGCGGTCTCATCCACTCATGCACATGCTACAGTACATATTTGAACCACGTGGCATCTCAAATGTAAACACATGATTTTGTTCATTGCATGCTTGAAGTAGGATGACAGAACAAAGGCTTACAAGAGGACGGTTGATGTCAGTAGGAGAATTGATGACTACCGCCAGCATCCACAGTTCAGTGTTCTTGCAAGTTCACTTGTCTCCAGCAGAGTGTCAGAATGCCTGAAGTCATCCAAGGCAAGAAAGCTACTATCTTCTTTTCTATATTGCAATATTTATATAGGATGATATAAGTCATTCTGATCTGTCGGATCTGGGTTCTTAGTTAAAATCAAGTGTTTGAATGCAAATGATTCAATCAAAGTTTCTATTTTGTCCATACCCAATTATATCACTCTAACCTAGATGTTGTTGATGAACCATTATGTTTAACACTTCTAATTGGTTGGGTTATCACTCATCAGACAAAACTATGTTGCTCTTATTTGAGAATATCTGGTTTATCGTGTTCTACACTCTAATATGACTTATGCAGCTAAGCCTTTTCCCTAGAACTTAACCTGAGTGCAAAAGAGAACGGTAGCCTTCTTGAAAGTGATCAAATGCATGTTTCGGAACTGTTACCATGGAACCATGAAAACATTCAATACTTGTCCGATGAGTATTTGAGGAGTATTTGTGTCGATTAGTATCAAAAGAATATCTGTATCTGACATGTGAGCGTTCATAAGTTTCCACTCAAATCCAATTCAATTGCACTGAAGGAACTTAAACCTTCAATTTGTTGAAAGTCTTAATTGTCTTCAGAGCTTTAGCCACCTACTCCCTCTGTTTCACAATACCTGTTAGTTGTTATTTTAGCCTGGCCAGAAGAATTGGGGTAGATAAAATGACTATCCAACCCGTGGTTAATCCTCCATAAAGCTTGCATTACTTGGATTTATGATGTCAAAAGCACACACTTACTCTCTTCCATACTAGTTATTGAAGGAATTGAGGGGTAGGATTGGGAAAGGTAGGTCAAATTACTTCAACATTGTAGAACAAGTATTTTGACTGTAGTAGAAGAGGCTAAAACAACAAGCATTGTTTGAACGGATGGAGTAATTATCTATGGAAGTTACTTTGGAATAAGGAAGAAAAAAACTTTGTTAAGCGCTAGTGTTATAAGTTAAGATTCTAATATTACAATTGTGGTGCTAGTAATTCTTTAACATTATTCATTGACATTTTTATCTCTTTCAGTTGTACTCTAAAAAGACAGATGGGGAGACATCCACAGATACATCTGGAATGAAATGGCTAAAGGATGCTGTTCTCAGCAAAAGATCAGATAATGCTTTTAGGAGTACTATGGTCGGGGACCCAAAAATTAAGTTATGGGAAATTGGCATTCCTGAAGATTTAGCCTCAAGCTTGGTTGTTTCTGAGCACGTTAGTTCGTATAATTTTGAAAATATAAATTTGAAGTGCAACCTGCACCTTCTAGCCAAGGAAGAACTATTTATTCGGCGAAATGGAAAGTTAATGTTTGTTCGGAAGGCAGATCAGCTAGAAATTGGTGACATTGCCTATAGACCATTGCAGGATGGTGATCTTATTCTCATCAACAGGCCTCCTTCAGTCCATCAACATTCACTGATTGCATTCTCTGCAAAAATTCTACCAATTCACTCTGTGGTATCAATCAATCCACTATGTTGTACACCTTTTCTGGGAGATTTTGATGGTGATTGTTTGCATGGATATATCCCACAATCTGTACGATCAAGAATTGAGCTTGGAGAGCTGGTAAGCTTACACCACCAGCTGTTGAATATGCAAGATGGTCGAAGTTTGGTGTCACTAACACATGACTCTCTAGCTGCTGCACATTTGTTAACAAGTACAGATGTTTTTCTGAAGAAATCTGAATTTCAGCAGCTTCAAATGCTATGCCTTTCAGTATTAACACCAGTTCCAGCAGTTATTAAATCTATGAATTTTCAAGGTTCTCGGTGGACTGGTAAACAACTTTTCAGCATGCTTCTTCCTTCAGGCATGAAGTTCAGTTGTGATAGGAAGTTACACATCTTAAACGGTGAAGTGCTTACCAGCTCACTGGGCTCTTCTTGGCTGCAAAATAACACATCTGGTCTTTTCTCTGTCATGTTCAAACAGTATGGTTGCAAGGCACTTGACTTCCTTTCTTCTGCACAAGAAGTATTATGTGAGTTCTTAACCATGAGGGGCTTAAGTGTCTCTCTTTCAGATCTCTACATGTTCTCAGACCATTACTCAAGGAGAAAACTAACCGAGGGAGTTAAGCTGGCATTGGATGAAGCTGAAGAAGCTTTCCAAATCAAGCAAATATTGCTAGATCCAATTAACATACCAGTTCTAAAGTGTCACGATGAAACTGAAGATGTAACTTACAGACAATCTGATTGTATCCAGAGCAATCCATCAGTTATCAGATCTTCAATCATGGCATTTAAAGATGTCTTCAGTGATCTATTAAAAATGGTGCAACAACATGTTAGTAATGATAATTCAATGATGGTGATGATTAATGCAGGAAGCAAGGGTAGCATGTTGAAATATGCTCAACAAACTGCATGTGTTGGTCTTCAACTTCCAGCAAGCAAATTTCCCTTCAGAATTCCTTCCCAACTCTCATGTATTAGCTGGAATAGACAGAAATCATTGAACTATGAAGCTGAGGGTACTAATGAACCTGTGGGAGGTCAAAACCTTTATGCTGTGATCAGGAATTCCTTCATTGAGGGTTTAAATCCATTGGAATGTCTTTTGCATGCTATAGCTGGCAGGGCAAACTTCTTTAGCGAAAATGCTGATGTTCCAGGGACATTGACAAGAAAATTAATGTATCACTTGAGAGATATACACGTTGCTTATGATGGAACTGTTAGAAGTTCTTACGGGCAGCAAATAGTGCAATTCTCTTATGATAGTGCTGATGATCCTGGTAGATAAGCTCGGCGCCCCAGTAGGTTGTTGGGCAGCTTGTTCCATTTCAGAAGCTGCATATGGAGCTTTGGAACACCCAGTTAATGGTTTAGAGGACTCCCCTCTCATGAATCTACAAGTAATATTCTATTTCTGTTTCTATTAATGTCTATACTTATTATGTGGACACCGCTGTCTATTTTTTGCCCATGTCATGACATGTTTAAATTTGCCGTGCAGGAAGTATTCAAGTGTCACAAGGCTACAAATTCAGGGGACCATATTGGTTTGCTTTTCCTGTCGAGGCATTTAAAGAAGTATAGATATGGTCTGGAATATGCATCCCTAGAAGTTAAAAACCATCTTGAGCGAGTGAACTTCTCTGATTTGGTTGAAACAATCATGATTATGTTAGTTCACTTAAACATTGTTTTTCCTGTCATTTAATCTTTTAATACTATGCATTTGATCATTTAATGTTGCATTTTGTTATTAGATATGATGGACACGACAAAAAAAGAAAAGAAGGAACTTGGACCACCCATTTTCATATAAGCAAGGTGTTATTCTTTTTTTTTTCTTTTTATAAACAATGATTTCTTTCTTTTATTTGGGTTTTGAAATTGGTATATAACTATCTGTTTTACAGGAAATGATGAAGAAAAAAAGATTAGGATTGAGATTTGTTATAGAAGAACTTACAAAAGAGTATAACGTCACCAGAGATCAGCTAAACAATGCAATCCCATCAATTTGTATCTCAAGGAGGTAAGCACCAAACCTATTTGTTTGTTAAAAAAGAGCACCAAACCGATTTGTGTTTCAATGAGTGTCTATATCTATTTATTTGTCTCTTTTTAGCGGTGTCCTTTGCTTTTCACTGCATGTTGATACACATGTAGCTTATTTCACATCCACTTTTTTGGACAAAATAGGAGAGGCTTGCCCTGGAAATATATTAAACAATTACAAAAAACAGCCTGTCCCAAGAAAAGGAAAACGAAATTTACAAGAAGCTGTCTAGCCAGCGACTGATGCTAGGAAAGTAACTTTTTCTCGCATGTTGCAAAAGCATTGCGAATTCATGTTTAAACTTAGCTTTACAAGCTTCTACACAGGGTGGGTTGTTTGAATATCCAATCATTTGTCACCATCCAGATGCTCTGGGCTGGGAGGATAATTAAAATTCCATAAAGTAAGGGACTGCAAGGTCATCTTTGAAAGCTAGCAGTCAGTGGCAAAAGGGCTGTTCAAGAACAAATGTTCCACTGTCCAGTACACAATGAGCAATTATATGTGGGTCTTGCCATTTTTTATGGGCATATATGTTATATTTATTGATGTGTACCAAGAAGACGGGAAATGTTTGGCATTTGCTAACTGCAGATTACAAAATGATTATATTTAAGGAACATTATTTGTTTCTAATAGTAATCATAGGCCCAGAAGATTGAAAAAAAAACTGGTGTTGTAGGTTCTTTTTGCTCATATTTTATACAATATATCCATCTGAACCTAGCTTGTTGAATTATTAGAATTCAGTGTGGTTCTCATTATATATAAATACTTTATAGTTTTTTGAGAATTTGTTCTGGAAAATGTCTTATATTAAGATAGTTAGACTCACTGAATTATTGCATCAAAATTGGTAACATGCTTAAATTATGATTTGGCAATAGATGTCATATATGGCACATCTCTACTTATTATAAATTTATAATTCTAAAGTCATTGCTATTCACATTCTACTTCTTTGTTTGCATCTCCTACACTATCTTTTCACATGTAAAACTTCTACTCTGCAGAAAATGTGTGGTAGGTGATGAGGGTGTTAAAACTTCAGCATGCTGCATCACTGTCGTAGCAGTAGCTGAACCTAACTCCATGTCTCAGTTGGACACTATCAAGAAAAGGGTGATTCCAATCATACTGGATACACTGCTGAAAGGTTGTTACGTTTTGATACAGTTTACATAATATACCCCATATATTTACTGTGAATTTCCTGTAGAACTTAGCCACTTTGGAATTATGATCTGAGCTATAGCCTATAGGATTCCTTTCTAAGCTGTAGTACATAGAGGTAAAATATTTCGAGGTGTAGCTTGTATGGCTTTTTATCATTCTAATATCATACATGATTTTGTAGAAAAAAATTGTATTCTCTTAAGAAGACATTAACCACAAAATTTAGCTGTCATAGGAGTCCATAATATATTTGTGATTTTTTCTCTCAAATACACAGGAGGGTTGCGTGTAATTGCATTAAAGAAGAGAGAATCCAAACAACGCACAGCACACAACACATGCCCATATAGAGATCTTAGGAATGTATCAAGTACAAACCAGCTGTTTGCTACTACAATGCTAAGTCACTAGATTTAGGAATGAAAGTAACTTAACAAATCCTTGGAGTTGTATTCCACCCTGTTCTATAGATTCAGGCTTACTTTCGGATTGGGAAAATAAGGTAGGATTTTGTTTTAATAGAAGGACATAAAGCAATGTTACTTCAACTAGTAACTTCCATTTTTTATCCAGTTGAGTCCATGATGGAAATATCTGTTGGTAGTTGATGACATTACAGATCTATATCTTTTAGGAACTTCTCATGTTGATTGATGTCCAAATGAATAAAACTGGTAGGTTATAAAACGTAATATGTTGTTTGCACTAGATAACTGGGTACTCCCTCCATCCCTTTTTAACTGTTGTTCTTGTTAGAGTATTTATTTCCTTTATCATTTATTGTGTACCGGCTGCCTCTTGGGTTTCCACCCAGTGCTGCCTAGGAACTCCCGGCTTGCTGCCTGGGATTCTCCCCCCTCTTAACTCTCTAGCTTAGTCTCTCTCTATATATATGTAATACTCCTGTAAACTCTTCATTAAGCAATCTAAGCCTCTTGGCCTCTCTATCATGGTATCAGACTAAACCGATTCCTCTGCTTCCGCTCCTCTCGGCGCCCCCCTCGAGCCGCGCCCGCCCCCTCACCTTCCCGCCTCGCGCGCCCAGTGCCGCCGTCATCCGCGGTCCTTCTCGACCGCCGGCGCGCCTGGTGCTGCCCTCGTCGACGCGACCGGTGCCCAGCCGCGCGCCCATGGCTACTTCGACCTCCGGCGCCTCCACCGCGGCTACCACGATCAAGCTTCGTGATGAAGCTCTCGCCGCCGCCCAGAAGCTGGAGGAGGAGGCCGCCTCCCTGCACTCGACCAACACCGACCGCAGCCAGCAGCTTCAGATGGAGGCTGACCTCCTCAAGTCTGCTGCTGCCACGCAGGATCGCGTTCGTGCCGCCGCTGACGCCCTCGAGAAGGAGCGCGCGCAGGCCGACGCCCTGGAACAGCAGGCCGCTGCACTCCGGGACCGTCTCCGCCCGGACTCCCTCCACGACGACGACTCTCAGGACGGCGGCGATCACTCTTTCTCCTCCGACGTCGCAACCATCGCCCATCTGCACAGCCGGCTGCTGCTGCTATCCAGAACATCAGGAATTTGATTCCGATCGTTCTGGACCTCCAGTCCTCCAACTACTCCAAGTGGTGCAACTACGTTCTCCTCGTCCTCGGCCGTTTCGCGCTGAAGGATCACGTCCTCAGTGATGACTCCCGAGTCATCGATCCAGCATGGTCCCACATGGACTGCGTGGTCGTCTCCTGGATTTTCAACACCATCTCCACCGACCTTCTGGACGTCATCCACGAACGTGACGGCGTCTCCGCTCGGGCTGCGTGGCTCGGCATCGAACAGCAGTTCCTCAACAATCGCGAGTCACGCGCCATGCTCCTTGATGCTGAGTTCCGCACCCTTTCCCAGGGTGCCCTCTCCATCGACGCCTACTGCCGCAAGATGAAGGGCATGGCCGATGCCCTTGCTGATCTGGGTGAGCCAGTCCATGACCGTACTCTGGTGCTAAACATCCTCTGCAGCCTCAATGAGCGCTTCCAGTTCATGTCGCAGTTCATCACGCGCCAGAAGCCGTTTCCTTCCTTTGCGGACGTCCGCGCCGACCTGCGCCTGGCCGAGCTCAACATGGCACCTCCCTCGGCGCCTCCATCAGCCCTCGTCGCCTCTTCGTCCAACAAGCCACCTGCATCCCCGCCGGCCTCTGGGTCTGCAAACTCGCGCCCTCAACAAGACGACCGGGGGGGCTTCGTCTGGCGATGGCGTGCGTGGCGCGGCGTCGCCGTGGCTAAGGAGGCTCGACCAGCGGCTTCCCAGGTGGTTCCCAGTGGCCCTCCCTCCTCAATCCGTGGACGGGGTCCATCCACATGTGGCCCGGGTCTACTCCCGGCGGTTCTCGCGGTCCACCTCCCGCGACCGCCCATCCGTCATCGCCGCCACCGGCCGCGAAGAAGACGCTTTGGTGGCCGGCGTGCCTCCAACCTACTACCCTTCGACTCCTGGGACGTACCACCAAGCGCCCACCCAGGCGCCTCATCCGGCGCCTCATCCTGCCTGGACGCCAGCACCACCTCCGACGCCCCTGCTTGGTCACCATGGGACCAACAGTCCCTCGCCAACGCCTTCAGCACCGTCACCCTCACCCCGCCTCCGAACTCCTCGGACTGGGTGATCGACTTGGGTGCCTCGTCTCACATTGCCTCCAACCCTGGTATAGTTACCGTATCTCCATCCTCCTCTTTTCCTTCCTCCATTGTTGTGGGAAATGGTGCCTACTCTCCCGGTTGTTGGCACCGGATACTCCACCCTTCCTGGCCCTTTCCGTCTCAACAATGTCCTTCTCGCTCCTGACATCATTAAAAATATGCTTTCCGTTCGTCAGTTCACCACTGACAATTTTGTTTCTGTGGAATTTGACCCTCTTGGTGTCTCTGTGATGGATCTCCGTACCAGGAACACCCTCCTTCGATGTAACAGCTCAGGGCCGCTCTACACCTTGCAGCTCCCGTCGTCACCTACTGATACTTGTGCTCTTGTGGCCACTCCTTCTCCAACTACCTGGCATCGTCGTCTCGGCCACCCCGGCAAGGCTGCCCTTCAGAGTCTCGCTCAGTCATCTTCCATTTTCTGCAGCAAGTCCACAGATGACTCCATCTGCCATGCTTGTCAGCTTGGGCGCCATGTTCGCTTGCCTTTTGCTAGTTCTTTGTCTAGAGCACCCAAATCTTTTGATCTGATACATTGTGACCTGTGGACTTCCCCTATTATCAGTGTATCCGGTTTTAAATACTATCTCGTTATTCTTGATGATTGCTCTCATTTTCTTTGGACTTTTCCTCTTCGATTAAAGTCCGAGACTTTTACTGTACTCTCCAATTTCTTCGCCTATGTGCACACTCAATTTGGTTGTACCATCAAATCCGTGCAATGTGACAACGGTCGTGAGTTTGACAACTCTACGTCTCGCGCTTTCTTTCTTGCCAAAGGTGTTTCTCTTTGCATGTCCTGCCCCTACACCTCGGCAAAATGGCAAAGCCGAACGCATGCTTCGCACCACCAACAATGTCACCCGCACCCTGCTCTTCCAAGCATCCATGCCCCCCTTCTACTAGGCCGATGCCCTTGCTACTGCCACTCACCTCATAAATCGCCTCCCCACCAAAACACTGAACATGAGCACTCCCTTCTTCGTACTTTATGGCACTCACCCTTCTTATCATGATCTCCGGGCTTTCGGATGCACTTGCTACCCTAATCTCACCGCCACCACTCCTCACAAACTTGCCCCGCGCTCTTCCTTATGTGTTTTCATCGGCTACTCTCCCGATCACAAAGGTTACAGGTGCCTCGACCTCGCCACAAACCGTGTCATCATCTCTCGCCACGTTGTTTTCGACGAAACAACGTTTCCTTTCTCCCTTAGCCGGCCCTCACCGCCCACACACGAACTGGACTTTCTAACTGATGACGATCCTCCGTTAGTCCCTTTTCCACCTGCAGGAACCCCTCACGTTGCTACCATCCTGCCAGCACCTGCACCTCTGCGGGCTCCCTCCCAGCCGGCCTCTTCAGGTACCCTAGCGCCGGGATCAGGCACACCAGCGCCGCGGTCTCCCCCACCTGACTTCACCGCACCCCTGGTATCCCCTACACCAGCGCCCGCTGTCCAGGCGCCCACGGTGCCCCCTGTACCGGTGCCCACAGCGCCTCCTGTTCAGTCGCTCCAGACTCCTTCCTTCAGGAAGCCGCCCGTCGTCCACGTCTACACACGGCGTGCCCCCGCACCCAGCTTGCCTCCGAGGTCTCCCGCTGGGTCTCCTCCTCGACGCTCTGGCATGATTCCCTCTCCACCACGCTACGTCAAGAGCAGTTCTTCACTGCCAGCAGGGGCGGTCTCCATCCCGCCACTTGCCAACTCTCATGGCATGGCGACTCGCGGGAAGTCCGGATACAAGCAGCCTCGTCTTGCTCTACACACCGAGGCTCTGTCCCCACTTCCGCGTTCCTGCCGTGACGCTCTTGCTAATCCGCATTGGCGTCAGGCCATGGAAGAAGAATTCGCTGCCCTCTTGGACAACCACACTTGGGATCTCGTTGCTCGGCCTGCCAAGGCAAATGTGGTCACCGGAAAATGGATCTTCAAACACAAGTTTCATGCTGATGGTTCCTTGGACAGATACAAGGCTCGATGGGTGCTCCGTGGGTTCACACAACGCCTCGGAATCGATTACGATGAGACTTTCAGTCCCGTCGTCAAACCCGCTACCGTTCGCACCGTCCTCACTCTGGCTCACTCCCGGGACTGGCCGATCCATCAACTTGATGTCAAGAACGCTTTCCTTCACGGGACTTTGTCAGAAACAGTATACTGCTCTCAGCCCACTGATTTTGCCGATCGTGCTCTCCCCGACCACGTCTGCAGGCTCAACAAGTCCCTCTACGGTTTGAAGCAGGCACCGCGAGCATGGTACAGCCGGTTTGCTTCTTATCTGCTATCTCTGGGTTTCACTGAAGCTAAGTCCGACACCTCCCTGTTCATCTATCACCGCGGCACTGAGACAGTCTATTTGCTCCTATATGTGGATGACATTGTTGTTACAGCCTCCTCTCAGCCGCTCTTATATCGGGTGATTGATGCACTGAAGAAGAAATTTGCTATGAAGGATCTTGGTTCTCTACACCATTTCCTTGGCGTAGCGATTCAAATGACAAAGAAGACACTCTATTTCTCTCCTGGCGTCAATTACACTCTGGATATTCTTGCTCGCCATGGCATGAGCGATCGCAAGCCTTGTTCCTCTCTGTTGACACTTGTGCCAAAGTTTCGCTAATGCCGGCCCTTACATTGTTGATCCTACAAAGATATCGTAGCCTTTCATGGTGCTCTCCGAGACCTCACTTTCACCCGGCCCGACATCGCGTACGCTGTTCAACAAATCTGCCTACACATGCATGATCCTCGGGAAGTTCATCTTGTTGCTGCCAAGCGGATTCTCCGCTACCTTCAGGGCACTATCAGTTTTGGTCTTGTCATTCCCCGCTCTGCTCCAACTCAGCTCATCGTCTACACCGACGCTGACTGGGCTGGCTGCCCTGACACCCGACGATCCACCTCCGGCTATGCTGTTTTCCTCGGTGGCAGCCTCATCTCCTGGTCATCCAAGCGCCAACCCACTGTTTCACGATCGAGCGCCGAGGCCGAATACCGAGCAGTTGCCAACGGCGTCGCCAAAGCTTCCTGGCTGCGGCAACTTCTACAGGAACTACATCATCCTCTGGAAACTGCCTGCCTCGTCTACTGCGACAATGTTAGCGCCGTCTACCTCTCCGCCAACCCCGTTCAGCATCAGCGTACCAAGCACGTAGAAATCGACCTTCACTTCGTCCGGGAACGGGTCGCCCTTGGGGCTGTCCGTGTACTTCACGTTCCCACCACGTCACAGTTTGCCGATGTCTTCACCAAGGGTCTTCCTTCTTCTGTCTTTATGGATTTTCGCTCCAGTCTGAACATCCGTTCTAACGACGTTCCGACTGCGGGGGGGTGTTAGAGTATTTATTTCCTTTATCATTTATTGTGTACCGGCTGCCTCTTGGGTTTCCACCCAGCGCTGCCTAGGAACTCCGGCTTGCTGCCTGGGATTCTCCCCCCTCTTAACTCTCTAGCTTAGTCTCTCTCTATATATGTAATACTCCTGTAAACTCTTCATTAAGCAATCTAAGCCTCTTGGCCTTTCTCTATCAGTTCTCACTTCCCGAGAAGTCAAACGTATTCAACTTTGACCAAATATACAAGAAAATATTAATATTTATTGTACATAATTAGTATCATTAGATAGACCGTTGAATCTATTTTCGTAATAAACTTCTTTGTAGATACAAATGTTGCTACTATTTTCTATAAACCTAGTCAAACTTAAAAAGTTTGACCAGCACGAATACCATAGCGACACTTAAAAAGGGACAGAGGGAGCATTATTCTTAAGTTCTTTACGAGAGTGTTATATATGAAGTTACAAATAATGCCCATGCCAAAGGTTCAAAAGTTGTTCTGGTGTCACCCATGACAGACTTAAATAAGTCAGTCACCAATAAAGTAACTGACTTGGCAAGGAATAAAATGTGTTAAGCACCTGACATACAGTAAGCTATACTGATTCTATGAATAGTTTTGAGAAGTATTAGCTTCCTTCAAAAGATTATTCTTGTAACTATAGTGCGGCAGATCATCGGGTGATGCTTTACAGACTTGTGGAAGAAGGAATCTCATCAGATGCTCTCATTTGGATGATCTGGGAGTTCACACTCTGGACTGAAGCTGTCACCAGTCAGATCATGCTATCGTATTAAAGTTTTTCCCTAGAAAGCATCGTTTTTAAAGATTTGCACTGGTTTCGACATCTATTAATCTGGCCCAGATTCCCCTTAAAAACTGGGCCAGTCTCTTCTAATAAAACATCGGCAAAGCTTTGCTGTCCTTTTTGGGGAAAAATCTGATAGTACTTGGTGTTTGGCTGCTTATCCTCTCTTTTTGTGCAGGTTTTTTGGAATTTAAGGATGTTGAGATCCAGTGTCAACATGATGGTGAACTTCTTGTGAAAGTTTGTATGTCTGACCATTGCAAAGGTGGGAGGTTCTGGGCTACTCTACAAAATGCTTGCATTCCAGTAATGGAGTTGATTGACTGGGAGCTGAGTCGACCAAGCCACGTAGCTGATATTTTCTGTTCATATGGCATAGACTCAGCATGGAAATACTTTGTTGAAGTATGTGCCCCCGTATTTGTTGCCATTGGTTTTCGTTTACAAGCCTGGTTGCCTGTTATCGTTTCATCTTTAGAATTGATTTTAATTGTTATATTTGCAGTCTTTGAAATCAGCAACTACTGATATTGGGAGGAATATTCGTCGGGAGCACTTACTGGTTATTGCAGATAGCATGTCTGTAACTGGGCAGTTCCATGCAATAAGCAGTCAAGGTTTAAAGCAGCAGCGCACTCGTTTATCAATCTCGTCTCCATTTTCTGAAGCATGTTTTTCTGTAAGTACCATGTGATTTTTGTACTGATATGTTTACATGAATTTCCTGTTTAAGGCCTCCAGGCCCATTGTGATTTTACTGTGCTTTCTTCAGAGGCCTGCACAAAGTTTTATAAATGCTGCAAAGCAATGTTCAGTGGACAATCTGTGTGGAAGTCTAGATGCAATTGCTTGGGGCAAAGAGCCTTTCAATGGGACGTCAGGGCCTTTTGAAATTATGCATTCGGGAAAGGTGTGTATGCATTCAAAACATGCTGCCATAGTGACAGATGCTCAATATTTTCCAAGATACACTTCATGGCACTCCCAGAAATTGATAATGACAATTTTGAGGGCCTTGATGCACATCCATCCATACCAGTATTTACCATACTGCTTTATAATGTGTGGAGTTTAGTTTTTGCAGAAAGATTGATGCACTGTATTTAATAAATTTCTTCTCAATTCCGTGCCCATGCTTGATAATTGTCAGATTATGGATAAAATTCAACAAAGAGTGTTTGATTTCTATTTTTTAGAGTACCAGTGTTAGCTCTGCTTGATGTTTCGATCAATTAAGCTGATCTCTTGACTGATGTAGTTTTCTACATTGAATTTGACCATCAATTAGGCTGCTGTATTTTGTTATGTAGTCGATGAAGAAAATAAACCACCATCTTAAATATACCTGCAGGATATTCAGTTATTCAATTTGATGCTAACAGTTACCGTATTTTGCAGCCACATGAACCAGAACAAAACGAGAGCATCTATGATTTCCTACGCAGCCCTAAAGTTCAGAATGTTGAAAAGAATCATTTGGATACCCGTAGACAAAGTACTGAAAATGCTTCCATATGTAGGTTAGCATGCAAGTCTAAAGGCAGTGCGACTGTCAATGGTGTTGCCATCGACCAGGACTTTCTTCATGCTAAAGTCAGTATATGGGATAACATTATTGATATGCACACTTCCTTACAGAACATGCTAAGAGAGTAAGAAGACAATATCACCCTCGATGGAGCTATTTTACTAGTTTATTTTTGCACGACTTATGCATATGCTTTGTTTTTCTAGTTATATGTTGATTATCATTTATGTAATTTCTTTTACTTGCATGAAGGTACCCATTAAATGGATATGTGATGATGCCAGATAAATCACAGTTAATTGAGGCCCTGAAATTTCATCCCAGAGGGGCTGAAAAGATCGGTGTTGGAGTAAGAGAAATTAAGGTGATTATCAATGATGCCTGTTTTTTTTAAATAACTTTTTTCCTCGAACCCACACACATATCATTATATTAAGGGGCGTACCCAGTGCAGAGAGCTCCCGCTCTGTGCGGGGTCTGGGGAGAAGAAAAAAAGGGTTTAGAAACCCTATAACAGCAACAAACCCACTCACACCAAAGAGAATAAGTGTATATGTTAACTTTGATAATTGTGAAATCATGAGCTGCATTAGAAGACATCCTATTTTGATTACATTTTTGTATATATGTGTTTGCCATCTGGCCAAGCTTATTGCCAATATCGTTAGTGTTAGAAAATTCCATTGACAAGCTGTCCAATTAACTGGAAAAACATTATGTGCATTAAAATCGATCTTTATACAATATCATCGTCAGCCTTCTAAGCACTGTAAGCTTCCCAAGGTTGAGCAAACGATAATCCTTCCCCACAAACCAGAACAAGATGGCCCATTGTAGAATTTGCATGTACGCACTAAAAGGTGGATTACAACCAGGCGCGGAGCCTGCCTAACATCACAACAATATTTTTTTAGTTAATATATTGTTAAATAGTCTATATTAATAATATAAAAAAGATAGATAAATATTGTTGTCATATATATTTATTGATGTCTTCTAGACAACAAAACCATACAAAACCCAATTAGAATAAAATATTTTGATTCATCCAAATTTGTTTACCTACAATATTAGGACACATTTTAATGAAAGTTTACATTTTACTAAATGTGTAATTACATTTCATTATATTTTATATTTTAATGAACCCGTACTTAACTAGTAATAACAATTCATTGGTCATCAATACTTTATTATCATCAAGCTTATTGAGCGGCACAATATTATATGTAGATTATTTTTTTAGTGTGAACCTCACTATAGACATAGACACTCACATACATGCATGCACACCTATCCCTATAAACAAACACGTCCTACCCCACTATGAGCACCTTCGAAAATTTTGAGATTCGTGAATCACCACATGTGCCTTGGTATGGGTAGACACAACACAATTGCCTATCACAGGAAGAATAGCATTGTCAAATCGTCAAATACTTATTACGCATCATAGTTATTAATACTTTTTTATATAATTTGGTCCAAGTTGAGATGGATTGGCTCCTTATAAAGGGAGAACGACATTTTTCTACAATGGAGGGAGTATACTATTACCGTATATGTATTTCATCATGCATGACTTTTCAGTTTGAACGGCCCCGTATGTAAATCATGGCTCCGCTCCTGATTACACCCTGGCATATCCCTGTTTATTACAAAATTGCATGCTGTAAATTTGATGTGAAAAGTATTAGGCAGTGCATTGAGGCTGGTATTTGCTGTCATTTTTTTGATGGTGTGACCATTTGTCTTACATGCAGATCGGGTTGAATCCTATTCACCCGGAGACAAGGTGCTTCATTTTGCTGAGGAACGATGATACCACTGAAGACTTTTCTTACCACAAGTGTGTTCATGGTGCCGCAAATTCTATCTCACCTCAACTCGGAAGTTATTTGAAGAAACTATATCATAGAGCATAAGATACAACACTAGTTGCACTTCGCATTGCTCCTGGCAATACCTTGTCCTGATCAGACCATATGACCAACTTCTTAGAAGGAACTAGCTGTCACATTTTAAGGATGCTCAAATCGCTGAGAGCAAGTATAATAACAGGCTGTAAGCATGATGAATGCTGATTTGGATGAGAGAGAAGAGGAGAGAGAGGAGAAGCGGGTTGTAAGCTTACAGCCGGCTTATATAGACACAAAAACCAGAAACTTTGTGAGAGAGATAAGTGGGCCATGTATTAATAGTGAAGAGCTAACTACTATATGGATGGACTGAGAGATAAGATGCAAAGATCCTTACAGCAGCAGGCGGCTGTATTATTAGCCTTGCTCTCAGAATGAATCAGCCTAAGATCCTATCTCTCCCGAGCATGTATTGAAACTGAAAGGATATGCTCAAAAGGTCTTTGGGATTAGGGTGTATGTCAACTCAACTCAACTCAATGGGACTATGGAAGGCGGGCCTGAAAGAGTCATGACTCTGGTTGCATGCCTCCATCTCTGTAGTCTGTAGTATACTAGGCTGCGTGTTTTCTTTTTCTGCATGTTTTCTATTGTGAAGATATTCTTACACCAGAATATGATGCGCGTGAAATAATCATTCATTTGTTTCCAACTGTTGGTGGCACGAAATGCAGTAGGTGCTACCATCATCGTTGTATAATTGCCCCTCAGGCATGCTACTGCAAATGAACCAATGGCCATTGAATACTTCATGTTGATGCAATTTGAGGTCTATGACAAGGTAAAAAGCGTGACCTGGAATCGCAAATCCAGACACGTGCAGTCAGGCACAGTCGCCAACTCTATCCATCTCTATTACTTAACCATCGCGCAACATTGCTGATGTCTGGTGACAGATGCATTTTATTGGATCAGTTCGCTGAACAAGCCAGTGTTATTTGGGTGCAGATGGTACCAATATTTTCCGACCGATCTAAGGCTAATGGAGAGGATGGGGCAATGACTATCTGACACTATGCGTGAATATAATACGGACTATAGTATGGAGCAAATATGGGATGAGCAGTATATCGGACTAAAGTATCTGAATTTTTCATGTTATGAGGCAATATATTATTGATTTCACTTAAGTGACAATGATAAGACAATAAATATACTACTACATATGATCGCATATGAATAGTAGAAAAAATATAGCTTGCTGTTATTCTTCACATCTCTGCGATCACTTTCGCTGTGCTCACTCTAATTGCACCACAATATTGTGGCCAATGCAAATAGAGTGAATAATTTCCATCCGTCTGACCAATCAAACCTTGTGTCTCTATCTACACCGATTTCAAATTCAACAAAAAAAATAATGAAACATGGTTGGGATGAAAACATAATTATCCGGTGTGTGTGACTTTGGACTCGAGAAAAAAAAAGAATAAGATGAGCTGTGGAACCATCCGTAGGGCTTTCTCCCAGTCTAGCTCCACAGGCCTATCCCCTATCAGAGAATTGCCATTCGTAAGGATGACAGATAGTTAAATATCGTCATGGATAATATACCGCTGTTTTGTACTGATCTTTCACGTCTTCATGGGCTGCCCCTTTGCTGTCTCGAGTTGGGCACTTTTGAATTTGCACATCCCCTCCAGGCAGGTCCTTTCGAGATCCTTTCAAGTTTCAGAAATTAGCTTGATGTACCTTTCTTCATGGAAATTTTGGTGCTCATCATGTGCTGGTCATCTTGTTAGTAACAACTCCAGCTTTAGAGGGCTCCAGCGTCAGTTAGCAGCACAAGAGTTTTTCAAGAAGAAATTTGTTCTAGTTCTTCGAGCAAAGACAGTATCAGTAGCTAGCAGCAGCAGCTTTTGTTAACCATTTTTTGTGTCTTTTTTTTGTGTAAAACTGTGCTTTATATCTTTTAATGCATAACCAGTAGGAGGCAATCCCTTCCATTCACCTAAAAAGAATGGAGATGGATTGCCGCGTCGTGGTGCAACGTTTCACAACGTAATTTTATCTCTGGAGGGAGAACTGGAAAGGAGGAATTAGATAGGCTTTGAGAACTTGAGCGCGGAGGAACAAGTAGAGCAGCAGCAGCAGCAAGGAAGCAGAAATTGGACCGCCGTTTACTCTTTCAGAATTTCTTGGATCCATTTCTGCTACGATTCTGGTGCAATTGCGTTGCCATCACCATCAGCAGCATTGCAGGTCCTTGATCTGCCCATGCAAGTTCACTACAGTTCAGTCTGGTGACTGTAATTTACCATTTGTAAGAAAGCAGTTTGTGAGCTGCGACAATGCTGTTCTCCTTGCCAGCCTGAACCAGAGAAGAGAGAATATTTCTGCCGGCGCCTAGATTTCGCCGCAAATCTTGTGCTAATCGCTGGTCCAAGCAAGCTCAAACAAAATCACGGTCGTTTTCCGTAGAGCTCGGTCAAGTTGGTGGCGCATCGTTGTCTCGCGAACCGGACATTCTCAGTTCAGTCGAAAGCGTGCCGTAGCTCTCATATTCAAGGAAAGAACCGAGCCTAGTTTTTGGAGGAACAAAAAGAAGGCGCGGTGATCAGTCGTGACCTTGCGGCCAATTCAATTCAGAGTCTCTGTTGCAGCTTACCATCCTCTTTGTTGTGGGACTTCTTTCGGTCTTCGGCCCATGTAACGGGCACTACAGCTACTGAACTTCCAAATCCACCTGTTTCTTGTTGAGAGTTAGGTCAGAGGCAGCCCGGATACAGCCATACAGGCTACCAGCATCTGAAATTCTGAATCGCTGAGAAGAAAATGTTGCAATTTGTTCAGGTTTAGGTTCAGAGCGAGCCACATAGATGAAACTAACAATTGGCTTACACATTAATTGACATGCATCTCTACCCGTGACGAATACGCTGTCCAGTGAGCGCATCACTTGACCTCACACGTTCCTGTCAACGAAGCCTCGGCATCAGTACTCTCGACGCTGACCGGAGCGCAGACCTCACCGAGCGAAACGGACGCCGGACGCCGGGAGTGCCGACAGCGGGCACGGCCGTTTCCACCACCGATCCCTGTCGTCCATACCATGTCGCATAGTATCCAGTGTCTCTCTGGCTCTCTGCCATGCCGTCTCGGAGGGCTTTGGGCCAAAGCCAACAGCGATCTGTTCTCCACCGCTGAATTGACGCACGGCTTCGGCTTGGACACACACGACACGACCGAGGCCACGCGCCCACGCCACGCCAAGGGGCGAAAACAACTGAAAGCTGACGCGGGGAAACGATGGAAAATTTAGGCCTAATTCGGCAGCATGATTCCACGCGGGGATCCGTGTGTTTTACACGGGACAGAAAACCGGTGTTCTTTGGCAGCACAACGAGCGTGGATTCGAGGCCCGCTTTCACCCGATTTCCACAGGGTAAGGAGCCCGGATTGATGACACCGGGCGTCGATCCCCGTCTCGCATCCCTCGCTCGGGCGCTGCTTCCCCGTTCTGCGGCTTGCGAGTCGCCACCACCTCGACCTGGCATGCGCCGTCGCCGCCACCTCGATTTCCGTCCTAGCCTCGATCGCCTCCTCTGTCCTAGCCTCGGTCGCGTCCTCTGTCCTCGCCTCGACGCCTCCGCCGCCGATTGCCTCGATTGCCCCCGCCGTCGATCGTCCGCCTGCCCTGACTAGACCCGAGAAGGTACTCATTCCCCTCCCAGCTCTCGCCAGATACCGCTACACTCGATTTCTTGATCGATCTGAAAGGAACTAGTGCTTACTGCAAGATCTAGGTGTTCTCTGCCTTCCCTACATGAACTTTGTGTCTAACCTGATCTAGGAGCTGTACGGGTTTTGCACTGTTTGACAAATTACAGTAGAAAATCACAAGCACTAGTGTAATCACTATGATGCATGGATTGAACTATCATAAATTGAAGTATTTTCTTTTGGAACAAAACTAGACCTACTCATCTGTCTGTGTGTTAGCAGTTTCTATTATCAGTGCCATCTGACTATTAATTAAGTGGAAAACTATATTTTTTAAGCATTACGGCCTTGGTGTTTGTTTCTATATAGTTAATCCATGGTGATTTCATTACTGTCCTGTTTCTTACGCTAACTACTAAATTACTATAGGTTAGGTATGTCTCTTCCCTATGTCAATCAGCACTAGTTTAGTTTGCTACTCCAGTACTCATCGGTGATTATTTTGACTGATATGTGAGCATGAAGCTAGTTATGTATTTGGATGAAGACAAGTAGCATTGAGCATGCAACTAGTTATGTATTTATTTCATTTATCTTCAGCCTGTTCGGCTGGTGCTCATACGATCGTATACGATCGTGGATTATTACTGCTGGCTGGTTTGGTGTGAGAGAAAAATACTGTTCTGGCTTATAATCCACGATCGTTTACGACCAAACGAACAGGCCGCTTAGCATTGAGCATGTAGCTAGTTATGTATTTGGATGAATACAAGTAGCTTTGACCATGTAGCCAGTTTTTTATCTGCTAGCTGCTCATCAAAGCAGTGGTATTCGATCTTGTTGGCATGAGTTATTTACATGATTACTTGTCCTTTTGGTGGCTGCAGTAGCTGTTTTTACTCAATCTTCTTGTCATGTACCTAGTTATTTACATTTTTTTTTGGTTTTGTTACTTGCAGGGTGCTTGTTGGTATCACTGCAATCTGATGGTTGGGGTTCATTCGTGCTATTCAGAAACGAGGTATGTTACAACTTTTACTAAGTACATTTGCTAAGTATGATAGCTGCAATGGTTGGGGTCTATTATACTGTAGTAAAGTGTTGAGATGTTAGTAGTAAGGTGTTGTTGAGATGTTTCACTTCCTCCATGTATTACACTGGAAGAAAGCTGACAGGTGTAGCCTGTAACTAACTTCCCACTCCATTCCATGTTTGTGTATGATAAAAGAAAAGAAAAGCCTCCACTAGTTGGTCTGAACTGAACTACTTCTACATGTGTTAGCTTGCTGCAGCTTCATTCTTTAAACTTCTACTTTCTTATATGATACATTCATGTACAAACTTGTTGGGGAAAAGCCAAATTTGTCACAAGAGTTCACCATTTTCGTTTTATGTTATTTGCAGAGGTTTTGGTGGAAGAAATGCATGACTTGAGACAAGTGAAATGTGGTCAAGTTTTGTAATGATTGTTGAACATTTCTGACTTCTATGTTATATGTAGCTATGCAAAGGATTTCAGTTGGATACCTATGTATTTTTATGTAAAAAAACTTATTCCTGAGATTTTTTATTTATTTATACGATATGAGCATCGATATGTAGTGACCTTGTTATATCATTTTCTTTTCTGAATTTTCTTGATTTTTTCGTATTTTTTAAAGATGTTTCTATACTATATCGGTTAAGATTTTCTATAATCCTGGACATGGTAGATGCACACCAGAGATGCCGAGAGCCATCAGGAAGGACTAAAATATGTAATACATGCTTTATCTGACAGCTTTATTTATGCAATATATCACATAATCTATTTCTCTGCAACTCCGTGCTTCCAAACAGCCACAGTCAAATAATCCCGCATGTGAAATCTCCCCTCCGGGAAGAGAGGGGATTAGCATATCCAGAAAAATCCCTCCCCCTCGGTTTGCTTCCCTGGAATAGTCCCCGAGCTGCCGAAGTAGCCCTTAAGGTGAACTGTTGCTGTGCGCGCGAGGCGCATCAGAAAGAAACGTGCCCGGCTGGCCGGCCCCCATCACCCGACGGCTGCCCGGGATGTCTTGCCAATTCAGGCCGTGATTTGGGTAGATTTCTTGCTGGGCACTCGGCACTCGAAGGAGGACGGCAGGCTCGCGTGTAAAGGCGGTCACGCACTGTTTGCAACTGGCACACGTGAGGGTGAGACTCAGAGGACACGTACAGAACCTACCGAATGGTGGTACGGTCAGTGTTTTGTTTGGGTCCCCTACACCGCACCCCGCACCCCCCCCCGGCCCTTGCTCCAAATCTAAGTACTCGAACGTTGCACGGCCAGCGGACACCGCGGCGTCCACTTAATACTGTTCAACTATACTTACTTTGGTATCAAGCAAAGGGAAAAAATTCAGCACTAATCATGCATGGCCTTTTCATGATGTTGCCTATCATTCCAGTGGCGAATGTCTGAATCACATGCTCTAGCATAGTAGATCTCTTGCAACAAATCAACTGTTGCTGAGTTTTACAACTATTTTGTCTACCATCGCATAGGCAATTAGGCATAGAATAGAACATGTTTTGTTCCTAGTAACCATTGAATCTCGTACTTGGAATGGACATGACTATTCCGTCTCTGCCACCGCAATTAGCACGCCGTACTCAGGACCTAACCGTCCTACACCATTCTGCGCTCGTGTGGGCTCCCCACGTTCAACAAACCGTCACCAAAAGTCCGCCAATCCAAACCGCCACGTCCGTGCCCAAAACCAAAAGCCACACCGTTCTGCTGTCTGTCTGTGCTCGATAAATCCGTCGCCCCCAAAGCCAAGCAAATTGCACTCCAGAGTCCAAACCGCAGACAAGGCCGCCCAGGCGGTTCTTGCGTTGCGTATGGCCGCCGCCGAGGCAGAGGCGAGCAGCCGGCGGCGGCGCCGCCGCGCGGAGGAGCTGTGCGCGGCGGCCGTGTCGGTCGCGGACGCGGCCTCGTGGTGGTGCGCCGTGGCGCTGGTGGCGCTCGTGCTGCTGGGCGCGCTCCGCGCGGAGACGACGACCGCGGGCGACGTCGACGGCGACGGCGCGCACCGTCGTCAGTTCCGGGGCCCGCGGCTGGGCGGCCCCGCGGCGCGGCCGTGCGAGGAGGTGTACGTGGTCGGGGAAGGCGAGACGCTGCACAGCATCAGCGACAAGTGCGGGGACCCCTTCATCGTGGAGCGGAACCCGCACATACACGACCCCGACGACGTCTTCCCGGGTCTCGTCATCGCGCTCTGCCCCACCAAGAACACCTAGCTCTGCTCTTTCAATTCTATCTACTGCACCTGCACGCGGTTTGCGTGCACACGTCAGAGATGAACAGGAACTAAAAAGAGTTCTGCGTTCTTTGGTGCCTTCTTATTTGTCCTTCTGTTTAGTTTGCTCCGAACTGATCCTTGTGATCTTGACAACCTTCTTGGAGAGAGGAAAAGATAAGTTGTGTATAATAGCTTATTAAGAAAGCAATTCTTCCTTGCTGTGCAGTTTACGCATTCTCTTTATGTACGAAGTTTTTGTTCGTGCTTTAGAATTTAGATATTGACGCAATGAGGTCAATAAGATAGTCCTACTGCCTAGTTAGTTTCAAACTTGGGAAAATCGTATGTGCACCTTATCATCAAGGTGAAAAAAAAGGATAGGCGGAGACAGAGTACATCGATACCTTTTAATTCTGGCTGGAGTACAAGTGCTTTTCACGTGACCAAGAGTAGCTTGGTACTTTGTTAGGCTACTGACTCACAACAAGAGAGCCTAACCCCAAAGCAAGTGGCACTTGGAGTGCACGTTGCATATGTGGGTACTCCCTCTAATCAGTTGTAATTGACGTTATATACATATATATAGTAATATATATATATATATATATAAGCCAAAAAAAGATGTATACATACCAAGTAATAGTGCTTATAATATGCTTATTGCTCCAGGTGACTGATAACTGTCGAAGTTTTTTTTTTGGGGTTTTTTGTAACATATACAAAAGAAAAGGAACAGTTGTTTTTTACGGAAAAAAAGAATGGTTGCCGTGCATCCTTGAGAGACCGGCCGTTTACAGCCCATGCACCCGGCCCAATATTGTCCGATCGCGAGAGGCCTGTTGAAATGCAAGGTTGGCCAGAGAACGGCTCGGGCTGCATGCTCTTTTTAAAGCTGGATGCAACTGCGATGGCGGCCCAGGCGCCCGTTAAATGTGCAGGATCAGCCAGGGTTCCAACGGTCCAACCTTCGGCAGCTGCAGCAGCAGAACCTTAGCGTGGGCCGCGTGGTCCTCAGGCCTCAACACTTCCATGTGGCGGATGGCGCAATGCCGCAGTGCCAGGCAAAGCATGTCTGCCAGAGACGCACGACCACGGCGCGGGCCGCGGGCACCACCGGTTATCGTGCTCCAGGGTCCAAGCTCCGATCCATTGATGGCCTGTTGCATGTGTACAAGCTGTAGGAAAGAGACAGAACCGTAGCGGATGGCTCCTGCAGTCCAGCTGTAGGATCGGATGGAACCGAAGAAAGGGAAGTGCGCGGTACTCTCCGATTCACCGATCGCATCCGACGGCGAGGCCGATCGCTCTCCATGTCCAATTCGCCATGTCAACCGCGTGTTCGGACGGGCAGGGCGGAGTTGGTGGCCCAGCCCAACAAAGCCTCAGAGGCAGCGCCATGGCTGTATACGCCTGCTGTACCCGTAGACATCACCAATAATTCTTGTCTTGTCGTACATCGGGTTTCAAAACGGCACTGTTGTGGACGCCTGGCAGTTCGTCGTTGGGGCGGCACGTGAACGTGTGGGTAACATGCGGGTTCCCGGTCCCGGGACCTTGATCTGTGCCACAGCCGCAAGCCGTTTTCCTCTCGGTTTTTAGATTCCGGCCACGATGATACGTACGTTTGCTGGTCTAAACTTTGGCTGAAACTGGCTGAAAAACACTGTTTCGACTGAATTGTTGTGAAAGAAAAATACTGTTTCGGCTAAAAAAATAAGCCGAACAAGCTAAATTTAAGACAAGCGAACGGGACCATATACACACATCTACTAAAAAAATAACAAAATGTGTAGAAGCAAAATAAAGGCCGATCAAACGTGGACCTGTGACAAAGAAAACAAAACCGTAACGAAAATTAATTTCATGTATCTGTTGAACCTTGTAGATGTTTTTGCAAACTGTGTTGTGGAAGAGGGTGTGTGCAATGGGCACTTTCAAAACTATGATTGTAAGCTGGTTTCCCCAGCGAATTATATGCTTTCTATAAAGCGGGACCAATAGGTCTTTGGTCTATAAAAAATAATTTCATGTCCTTTTCCATTTTAGTGATGTGCCATGGATGCTTTATATATACGGAGTAGGTTACAAACTGAGATTATTTTTTCTGCCATGGGAAAGCTTGCCGTAGCTGGGAAGGTGGATCGAGGCTGTAGCAGTGAGGGACATGTCCTGTTTCTGTCTGTTACAAGTACGTTCGTCAAATCATGATGAGAATTTTACGTGTTAGCGTCATTATAAAAGTTAATAATTATCTATAAACCACTAAATAATTTGAGCGGTCACACGTGTCACTCATCTAAACTTAGTTGTCGTCCACATCAATCCGTCCATCTTCCATTAGATCTTTGCCGTTTGCTAACCTTGACATGTGGGTCCAGCCGGTCAAGATGTCCAAAATATCCCCCTCCCTTCCTCCCTCCCAATCCCTCTACTGCTTGTTGTGGTCCTTGCGTCGTGGTTCGCGCCGCCGCTCTCACCGCCGCCCTTCCTCGTGTTGAGCTCGCCCGCGCCGCCCGCGGTGGACGGGTCGTGACGCGATGTGTCGGTGCGAAAAGTGACAAATAAGTAAATATTTATAATTTTACCATGCGTTGTGATCGGATGTGGCCTATCACTCAATGACACATGATTTACACTGGTTCAGGCAACGTGCTCTACGTCCAGTTCCAGTCGGTCGGTGACTTTATTCCTAAGCCCAGGTGCTCGAAGTTTGCTGTGGGGTTATAAACGAGTGGGAATAAGAAAAGGGGTGTTAAAGGTCCGGTCGGGCTCTAAACCAAAGGGCCAAGAGTGACGGGAGCTCCAACGTGCGCTGAGTATTGGAACGTATGCTTTGTGTAGCTTTAGAGTTCTAGAGCTATGGAGCTGTTAGAGTGCTCAGAATGTCTAAAAGGTTAGCAGAGAGAGAGAGAGTCGGAATGACCTTCCCCGTTTAGGAAAGAGCGCATTCCCTTTTATAGGTGATGGGGACGACTTTACAAGTTTCGAGAGAGAGAGAGAGAGAGTGTGCCACTAAGTCTTGTTGCCCACGCTGTCAGGTACAAGACGGTCGTCGGCGCCCACAATACTATTTATATCAGACGCATATGGCAGGCTTTACCGTGTTCGCCTGGTATGGCAAATGACGGCGCTCACAACACTCTAAGGCAAATGTCGACGCCCACAACACTGTTTGTGTTCTGACATGCCTGAAAGGTTGCAAAGCACCCTTTTGGCATGGCCTGGCGGTACTGTCCTGCAGGTGTGTAGGGTACGGTCCTCGGTATTGCGGTTGACTTGAGCGCCTTGCCTTATCTGCTCCGCCTGATTCTTGGGTCCTCACCGAGCGGGCGTCCCCGGTCGGTCGTTCCCAGTCGGCTCCGACCACGTCGGTCGGAGAAGAGCTGTAAGCAGAGGTTCGGCGTATTCCCGGTCGGAAAAGCGGGTTGGAGTCGGAAGCGAGCGTCGTCCCCTCCTTGACCAGGCCTTTCAGTCGGAGACTGGATCGCTCTTTCGGCCTGTCGTTAGGTATCTGGGCCGGCCCAAGAGTCGCGCGTTGCTGTAATGCTGTCTGCTGGGTCGAGCTTTTGCTAGGAAGCGGGCCCATCAGGGACCCTGGGCTTATGAACCTGGCAGGAGTCCCCGAGCCCTTTTGGGACTTCTGCGACGTCGTGAAGGGGCTGTTTATACTCGTTGTATGAGAGCAACGGGTGGGTGTAAGATCGTGAGTCACCGTCGGGCGTGATGGAGCGCGGCCCTAGGCGTCGGGCACGGTCGAGGGGTCGGGCGCGATGGAGCGTGGACCCAGGCGTCGGACCGACGAGCCAGCATGCTGATCAACGGCCGTACAGGGAGTAGGCAGCATAGTGACCATGCATCCATCACTGTGGGTCGATGTGAGTCCCCTGGAACGACATGTCGTGGAGACGCGTCGTGCTAAGATGTGACCCCTCCCTGCACGATGCCAGAAGTTTGACCTAGGGTTGTACTTTTGGCCCGTAGTGGTTGGCGGCGGCGTGAGCTTCGTTAGGAACCGTGTCCGAGGGATCGGCCGAAGCGGAGCCAGCCCTTAGACGTCGAGCGAGGCGGAGCCAGCCCTCAGACGTCGGCCGAGATGGAGCCTACCCCCAGCCGAGGCGGAGCCAGCTCTCAGACGTTAGGCGAGGCGGAGCCCACCCTCGGGGGTCAGCCGAAGCGGAGCCAAGCAAGAGGTGTAGCCTTGGTGATCCTAGAAATCACCTAGGGGATTTTTTCACTTGCCAGCGGGTGTGCGAGCGCACCTGGTGAGTGTAGCCCCCGAGCCCCCGGGCGATTCAAGTAGAATCGTCTAGGGGATTTTTTGACTTGCCAGCGGGTGCGCGCGAGCGCACCCGGTGGGTGTAGCCCCCAAGTGAGATCTGACCCCTTGCCGTTGCTAGGGTCAGGTGTCACTAAAGATTGAGGAGAGGATAGTGAAAATGTCTCTTGTTTTCGCACGTCTCCCCTTCCTAGATTCTGAGCCATCGTTTCCGGGAGCACGGACCCAGGCGTCGAGCGCCAACCCAAACATCGGGTGCGGCCGGGGGGTCAGGCGTGATGGAGCATGGACCCAAAGTGCCGGGTGTGGCTGAGGGGTTGGTCTAGTTTTGTGCTTTACCCCATCCATGGTTTCCGAAACCAGAGGGGCTGAGCTAACGTCGCTTGCCTTGATGGCTCGAGTGACGCGCTCAGTGCGCTCTCTGACGGGTATGTCCAAGTGGAATCCGGGTCCATCATTTGTAACGGGGTCAGCATAGCTCTCATATGACATTCCACTGCTCCTTAACCCACCTCTCAGTAGATGCCTAAGCCATTCTAGAGACCGACTCAGGTGGCCCGCTGCCCTCCCCTCGATGGAGATTTTGTGGGCATGGCTCGAGGTTAGGATCAAACGAGAAGGTCAAGATGACCCTGTCTGCTTCTGAGCAGATCGAGCGAGGGCCGCTGGGGCTCATCTACGTTTTCTCCCCTAGCTCTGTTTGACACGAGGCGGCCTCGAGC